GTTTATATGATTTAGGTGGCTTTGGGAAGTCACATGGTTCTGGCAGCCATTAGTTGAACTCAGGTGGTAATTCTGGCCCTTTGTGGAACGCAGTTGGTAATTCTGGCCCTTTGTGGAATGCAGTTGATAATTCTGGCCCTTTGTGGAACTCAGTTGATGGCTCTGGCCTTTTATGGGATTTAGGTGACAGCTCTGGCTTTTTGTGGGATTTAGGAGACTGCTCTGGCCTTTCATGGGTTTCAGGTTACTGCTCTGGCCTTTTGTGGGACTCAGGTGACTGCTCTGACCTTTCATGGGACTAAGGTGACTGCTCTGGCCTTTTGTGGGATTCAGGTGACTGCTTTGGCTTTCGTGGGACTCAAGTGGGTCTCATGCCCCTGGCCACTCGAGGATTTCAGAGCTGTGTGGCGCCTGCCATTCAAGGATTTCAGAGGATCCTAGCACTCCCCATTCAAGGGATTCAAAAGTATCTGTCTGACGCCTGCCATTCTGGAAATTCAGAGGGTTCTGGCTTCCACCATTCAAGGAATTCAGAGGTGTCTGGCACCCGCCATTCGAGAGATTTAAGAGGCTCTGGCCCCCGCCATACGGGAGATTCAAGCGGCGGCGACTCTGGTGGCGACTCTGGCAGTTTTGGTAGCAACAGCTCTGGAGGTGGCAGCTGCTTTGGCAACTCAGGTTGTGGCAGACGTTCTGGTGGCTTAGGTGATGGCATTTCAGGAACAGGAACTTTGACTGGAATTATACCAGGAACAGAATTGGAACAGGGAGCCATCTTGTGAGCTTGTGGCAGATTGGCGCTTACCCATGCGTAAGCTGGAAGGCTGGTCGTGCCCACTTTGTGAGCTGGAAGACTGGAGACAGCCATCTTGTGAGTTTTAGGACTGGAGTCAGCCATCTTGTGAGCTAGAGAAATGGTGGCGGCCATATTGTGAGCTGGGGGGCTGGAGGTGGCCATTTTGTGAACTGGAGGACTGGAGACAGCTATCTTGTGAGCTGAAGGACTGGAATCAGCCATCTTGTGAGGTGGAGAAATGGAGGCAGCCATCTTGTGAGCTGGAGGACTGGAGACAGACATCTTGTGACCTGGATGACTGGAGTCAGCCTTCTTGTGAGCTGGAGAAAGCCCTGGCATGGCTTGAGCAGGCCCTGGCGTGGTAGGAGCTGAGGTTTTGCGGTGTTCGTCCACTGGACCCACAGTGAGAGAAGAACCACTGATCAATAACGCGTAGTCAATGTATTGGGCCAGTGAAATTTTTTATTTTTTTTCCCTTGGCAGCCTTGATCTCCATGGTTCATTAATTCCATTTCTAAAAATGTCCTTTAACGCCACTTCACTAAAATCCACCAGGTAACAAAGTTCACAAAAAGTTTTCTGTAGCTTGCAGGCTTGAAACTTCTGCTGGATTCAAGAGAGGTTAAGTATTCTGTAGCGGGCAGTCTGAGAACGTGTTAGAACCATATGCAGAAGTTTATTAATGGGATTAGACAGAGACATCAATGGGTAAACAAGTGGAGAGTTGGCAACATGTAAGCAGTACAAACCAAACAAAAAACACAGGGGCAATTCCAGGAGACGTAGTAGTAATTCAGGCAGAGGATCAGTGCAACAATAATCAGTCCAAAACAGATCAAGATACACAGGGACAAATCCAGAAGATGTGGTGAGAAGGCAGGCAAAAGTTCAAGACAACAATAAGCAGTCCAAAACAGAGCAAGAGAACAAAGACAGATAACGTACTTAAGGCAGGCAGGGTCATACACAGGCAGATAGTCACAAAAGTCTCTTGAAACAACGCTTGGTAAGGCAGGAGAACTGGCAATACTTCGCAAGGAAGCATGGCCTGAGCTCTTGCTGAAATACAGCACAAACAGGAAGTGAGTGTACAGGGAGCGGAGCTGAGTCAGTAGTCGAGCGAGAACTCTCTCCGTTGGCATATTTACAACCTTTCAAAGATCACCTACAACAACACTAAGTAATAGCCACAGCACAATAAGTAAATGTCATTTATTGGCACGTGTTGTAAAAAAAATGCAGCACGTTTCTTCTCTTTTAATTATTTGTTTGCATTGTAACATCACCGTGGCACAGTTGGTAGCACGATTGGCTCACAGCAAGAAGGTCGCTGGTTCAAGCTCTGGCTGGGTTAGCTGGCATTTCTGTGAGGACTAAGCCGAAAAGAAAATGAATAAATGAATACTTGCATTGTGAGACTTTGCAACACATATGGTCAAACAGGTCTTTTAATTTACTGGGGTTTTTTGTAGCAGTGCGTTTAGCTCTTTGGGCCACCGTAAGGGGTACTATAAAATAAACTAACAATAAATATTGCTAATATTGCTAGTAAGTCACCCTCATTTGTCAACTAAAGCTGGACTGACCAATGTACTTGACCCAGAGAAGTTTAAGTAGGATTTGTCGGTTTTGAAGATTTAAGACCTTTGAAGGTCCTAAGAAGTACACTGTAAAAAGTCATCACTTAATCTACTTAAAATGCTTGTGAACTTTACAAATTTAGGCAAATTTGTAGACTTTACTTGATTTGACTGTCTTAGGTAAACTTTAACGTGGATCCAATAGATAAACTAAAGAACTTTGAACTGTACTGAAGTTCATCAAGTAAGTTTGACTAAAGGTTGAATCCATGCAGTACCGCATTTTGGTCAGCAGGTGGAGTAAGATCTGCACATGCGCAAACGGAAGGTGCATTCACTCGTGTGGCGCCCTTTGAATGGGATTCAAACTGGCAATTTTACAATGCAAAATATACATTATTTTACTGTAGAAGCTCTAATGTTATTATTTCTTCACTCGTTTGTGGTATTTTATATACTTATTGAACATGAATCATGTTGGAATTCCATCTGAGAAACCAGTGCCAGCCCGTAGGCCTGAGGGGCCCCAGACGAGATTTAAAAGAAATGGGCCAAGTGCATTTTGAATCAAATGTATTATTTTTGTAAATAAATAACATACAAATACAGTAAATGCATAACTAACTATAAATGCAGGATACATTTTAGCTTGTTTTTACACAGAGATTTACAAAAAAACTTTGCATTAGATGTTGGAAAGTGGATTTTGACAAAATGAGGGGAAACGTGTTTTGTCAGCAGGGTGAATTAGTGGGATAGAAAATGAATTGATTATTTACTAATACATGCTGAATATGGCCTATTTTTCCTCACATATTACACAAGTTTTTTTGTGATCATGGGCATTGTTACATTTATTAAAACAAGTCCTAATACTACACTAATAAATAATATAATATGCATAGCAGAACATGCCTGTACTGAGCTTGCTTTTCTTCCTCTACTTTTCTTTCTTTTTTTCAGCTACAAGTTTGCATAATTCAATTAAGTAAACTTTAATAAATTACTTTTTATGGTGTAAGGAATAGCTTTTCAAATGCTGTGAGCTTAGATTGTTGGAGTGACAGGTTAGAAACAGCCTTTTGTTTTTTCACAGTTCTTTTTTGTTTTACAGGGCTATTGATATTATTTTATTTGAAATGAATATCACTGTAGTTTTTCAGAAAAATATGATGTTTTATTTGTGCATTTACATATTTAAATGGTCTAGGGGATCCATCTTGTGGCCTTGGATTACATTTACTAAACTTAAAATAAAATTGCATTAAATGTATAAGTCTAACCAGCCGTATACAGTATAGTGTAAACCTATAGTCTATTTAATATTTTAATTATGTTAAGATCACACAATCATGAATGTGTGCTTGTCGGTGTAGGACCATCATTATCAGTTTTTCAGTTTGCACAGCCTGCAGATCTGAATGAAAAGTAGGCACAAAAAAATGCTCTTTTTTTACTATTGCCTGCATGTCACACAGATAATAACGGTCCACCTCTGCAGTTTAAAAGTAAAGTATATTTGCTTTGCTCGTATCTTTACCGTGTGGTTTTGTGCATTTGTATATTTGGCATGGTACATTCTTTTGGCAATTTCATTTTCTATACTTCGTTTTCTTTACTTCATAATTTTTATGAAATGGTCGATTCGGAAATCATCTCTATGAATATTCTGTACGCTGTAACGGTATATTGGAATAAAATAAGCTTATTTTAAAATATCTTAATTCTACTGATGAACGTGTTCATATTTGTAAAGGAAAAGCAGTTTTAAAAAAAGATGGATATGTTTAAGCCTAAAGAAATGTAGGCCTATTTTGATTCCATACTCTCAATTCATTTATAGCACATGCCTTTGGACTGTGGGGAAACCGTAGCACCCAGAGGAAACCCAAGCAGACATGTGGAGCACATGCAAACTCAACACAGAAATGCCAACTGGACCAGTCAAAACAGCGACCTTCTTGCTGTGAGGTGACTGTGCTAACCATTGAGCCAACATACCGCCTTATTAGGCTATTAATTGAAGTTATTATTTCGTTTTGCGGTATTTTTTTCTTCCAGGATATGTCAAGGAAAGCATCCTTTAAATGTGTTTTATAGTAAATAACAAATAATTTCTGCAATCAGTAAAACTAAACATTGTGTTCTGCACAAAACTCTTGCCAAGCAATCACATCATCTAAACATTTTTACATGTATTTTATGAGAATTAATGTGTTATTTAAATTTAGTTTTTTATTGAGTAATAGAGGTTTAAATAATTTGCTTGTTAAAAGAATATAAAAATGTACTGTAAATAATTTGGATAGATGAATCTGGGAGGTTTTGAAGCTTGATGTAATGAGTCTAGTTCTGATGTAAGGTGATGTATGAATAAAATAGTGTACAATGTATTTCAAATAACAATTATTACACTAATATTATTATCATATTGTACATTTGAATTAGTAGTTGTATTTAAACTGTAATTACCTTTATAAGATGAAAATATAATTCTGTCCTCATCTGTCCCCATTCAATTTTAGCTTAAATTCAGGATAATTATTGGTTTCCATTAGAAACCATTTTAAACTTTTAATTTCTCACTTTAAAAAAAAAAAATCAGCAGTAGTGACTTGCCTGTTAAAAATGACAAAATCTCAAAAAAACAGAACATTTATGGAATAAACAACGGGTATTCACTGTGAACTAAACCACTCTCCTTACTGCGACACTTTGTATGAAGAGTTAAATAAGAGATTATTGGGAAATAACAAAGGGGTGTGAAAAACGACTGGTCAAATGAGAAACATGAGATAATGGAGAAGCGAGACGTTATAAAAGGAGACTGCGAGACACACAGAGAACTAAACCATCACAGACATCTACAAATCCAGCCAGTGAAGAGAGACTGTGTGAAGATGTGGTGGAAAACCAGTGTGACTTTACTCCTGCTGATGTGTGTCAGAGGTAAGAACTTACAGTCTTATGATTTAAGATCCACCTGAGACTCTTTTAAAATTGAATTAATTGTCTTACATTAACATTAAAAATCAAACATGTAGTTTCTAATTGCAAGATCAAACTGTTGCATAGTCAGTTCAATAAATAACTTTCAAATTTCCTTCATATGTTCCACACCCTCTCTTTTACAGCTGATTCACTTTCTAATTTGCAAGGTAAGTGTTCTTCTCTCTCTTGACATCGAGCCATAAATATCAATTCGAGTTCATGCTTAAATATTACTTGATAATAAAAGTAGGTTTTCGATTAGCTTACTAATGATTATAATTGAGAAACCAGCCGCGATCAATCCTATCACATGCTTCTCTCTAAATTATTTTGTTGAAACTTCTTTGTTTTATTAGAAATTGTTTGGATGCTCTGCATTTTTTACACAGTAAACTCTCTCTCTCTCTCTCTCTCTCTCTCTCAGTTTGTGGACGTCCAAACCCGCAGTTAAACCCTCGTATCGTGGGTGGTTTAAATTCAACTGAGGGCGCATGGCCATGGATGGTCAGTCTGCGCTACTATGGAAACCATATTTGTGGCGGCTCCCTCATCAACAATGAATGGGTGCTGACCGCGGCTCACTGCGTCAAGTAAGTAAGACACGTCAAACACAAACTATAATAAATTACCTTGTTTGTTGGTGGAAATGTTCATGTATCAGTTTTTCCATCTCTTGTTTTCTTTTTCTGTATACAGCTTAACTAGGTCCAACATGCTTGTATACTTGGGAAAGTGGAGACGTTATGCAGCTGATGTCAATGAAATCACCAGAACTGTCAGCAACATCATTCCACATCCTTCCTACAATAGCACAACTTATGATAATGACATTGCTCTGCTGCAGCTGTCATCTACAGTCCACTATTCTGACTACATTAAACCCGTTTGTTTAGCAGATGAGCAAAGCAACTTCCCTCCTGGCACCAGGAGCTGGGCCACAGGCTGGGGGCGTATCGGAGTTTCAGGCAAAGGTGGTATAAGAGGCAGAACCACAGTGTCTGTGCCTTTACCTCCTCCTGGGATTCTGCAAGAGGTTAAGCTTAAAGTGTACAGTAATGCAGACTGTAATAGTATTTGTCATGGACGAATCAACCCCAACATGATTTGTGCTGGTACACGAAGTGGAGGCAAAGCAACCTTTTCTGTATGATAATCAATAAGATTATTCTAATCAAGACATTATTCTTCTGTATATGCACACACCTAAACACACTGCAAACCTGAATCTCCAACCAGTCTGACTGTATGTTGTCTCTATTTGATGACACAAAAACAATAAACTAAATCAGTAACTGCATAACATAATCTCTCTCTGTAGGGGGACTCTGGTGGTCCACTGGTGAGTAAGCAGTGTTCAGTGTGGGTTCAGGCTGGTGTTGTCAGTCATGGGTATGGATGCGCACAGCCTAATCTTCCTGAGGTGTTCATCCGTGTCTCAGAGTATAAACAATGGATTACAGCCGCTGTTGGTGGAAACCTGCCTGGATTTGTCCACTTTGACCCAACATGTTTACTTCCTAGTAAGATTCTTCTCCTCATGCCTACACACACGCATATACACAAATTGTACAATAACACACATATTTTTACTAATGTTTGTTTATGTATTTTGTGTAGACAATTGCGTTAAACTCAGAAATTGCTTTGGGTAATTAAAACTGCTGCAGTGATTTCATACTCTGGTGAGTCCACACATACATACCCCCACACAAACATATATATATATATATATATATATATATATATATATATATATATATATATAGGGTTCTCATTTTTTTAAACTTCCCATAGATGTACTGCTTTGTACAGACTGCATATTCTGCCCTCTTTGACCCCTAAACTATAACCATAAAGAAAAAAATACAGCATATTTAAAAAGGTCCTCACAAGGGCAACAATAACTGTTATTGCTATATATTCATGAGTACATTTGGTCCACACAAAATTAGGAAAAAATTGTTTTTGTGTGTCTGAAGGTTAATGTTCTGAGTGTGGAGGATTCTCATCAATACACACCTGCCTATCACATGATGAAGCCTCTTCCTGTCTGCGATCTACTGGCCAATGTTGATCTGAAAACTATTTTAAAAAATACAACACTGTTAAATTTTCTGTTCGTGCATGATATTGGTTATAATAATGAGATTACAACATGTGTTTGAAACATGACAAAGAGTGCTTGATTGTTTGGCAGAATGTGCAGAAGTTTGTGAGAATAAAAATAGGTTAGAACTGCACATCTGTGTCTATTTCTGTCTTTTGCGTTTTAAATGCAAACAAAAAATGTCAAATTTGCACATCTGAATATTTGTCATCTGAGGAAAAAAAAAAGTGCTTGAAGTTGCCAATGTGTTGTCGAACGCAATTACAATAAGTTGCAATATCTGAAAGTCATTTGAATGAAACATTTGACAATAACATCAGGGGTTAGATGCTGTATACATTAGTGGGTTTAATTTATATAAAACAAATTAAAAAGGGGTAAAACTATATGTGTAACACGTGTAAAACGTGTGTAAACACAAGTTAATTTACCTCATGGCAAGTTGTTCTTAATAGGATGTGGTCAGCCCACCAGGCTCAAATCATAAAATAAAAATACATGAATGAGATGTTGAATAAAGTGTGAATTGAATATGGAAGTTTTTTAGGTAATTTTGATAATAATTGATTTGTACATAAGTGCTCGTTCATGAATCAGTTGGTTAAAATAAAAGATGTGGTTGGAAACAGATGATTAATTAATAATATCAAGCACAAGGCCTCGTCATCTTTTATGTCCAAAATGTCCAAAGACAAACAATGAATTGATCTTGAGAGGTTCCTCGTATATCTCGCCGTGATGCGCGCTTTATAAAATGAGAGTCTGCATAGGCCCATATTCGTGCCAGTCTGTCAGATAAAATTGGTAAAAACACACGCTGATATAACGGAAGTCTGCACATAACAGGGTTTTGTGCGTCCCCCAATATGCGATGTCAAGAGGGTGACAAAATAAGCTGCACACACTTCATGATGTAATGCGTGGAGGAGTCTCACAGCGCAAAGCATAACCAAACCTTTACATGTCCATGCTTAATCAGTCATTGATAAGGTCTATCGATTAAAAGATTATTGACAATCAATAGATCATCAAGTAATCGTTAGCATCCCTAAAGAAAATTAAAGATATTTTACCCTAAATTTATCATACTCACCATTAAAAGGAGAGTTCATCTAAAACTGAAAATTCTGTGACCATTAACTCACCTTTTACTTGTTCCAAACTTGTTTTATTTTTTTTCTGATGTTGAACAATAATATCCAATAACTTGTAATGTCTTTGGTTGTTGAAAACTTGAACAGTAAATGCTGAATTCGAATTTTTCTTTTTCTTATTATTTTATTTATATTGTCAGACAGCTAAATATTTCACAAAATGTGTTAAATCAGCTGCACAATGGGATTGGTATGCTAAAAATCCTATAAAATTGATAGATATAAAAATGTTACATTTATCGTGATAATTATCGATATCGACCGATATGAAAAAATTATAATAAAAGCAAAGGCCAAGAAAGCTCACACAAAAGCAGAACAGCAAATAACTGGTGATTTATTTGAAATGGTTATGATTATTTTAATAATTTTATTTTATTTTGCTGGTTTCTGTTCAGTTCAACCAGATCAGTATTAATGTTTCATAAACAGTTCAGTTTAGTTAATGGTAACTTAACTTTTCCTTACCCTAACCACTGTTTACAGTATTTGACATTTTTACTCTATACTATTTCTATAAATTGATACATTTTGTTAAATGACAGCATTAAACAAATAAAATATTGTTTATTTGTAAGTCTTGGTGATTTTCTTATTTATCTGTCACTAGTTGTGTATGTTAACAATTAAATACAGGTTAATTATAATTCCTAAAATTATATTATAATTCCAAAAAATTTGGGTCGCGGCTTGATGACCATGTGAAAATTTGGGTCCCATGGCCAAACCAGTTGAGAATCCCTGTCTTAGAGGGTAATATGTCAAAAAATATGCTTACCTTGCAAATTTTTACCAAAAACAGTTCACAGGATGTCAGGCCTGAGTTCCTTGTTTTTAATTTCAATGTAAAAGCAATGTTGTGACGAGTGCTTTTGAATGTTTTAGTGACAACTAGGGGATTTTTTTGGCATAACATACTTCAACCAACTGGTAGAGATGGCTTAATCAGGTTTAGTTAAGTTAGGTACTCCTCTCAATAAGATATTGTCAGTCAAAATATGGTAAACTATTTGGTCAAGCAGGCAGTTAAAGGGATAATATATAAATATTAATATATTTATAGATTTTAATAAAAAAAAATATTGTGTTGTAAAGAAAAAATCTGTGTATGGAAAGCATTGACAATGCTTAGATATCGAATTTAACCGAATCGATGGCATGATAATCGTAACCGAACCAAACTGTGAGACCAGTGTAAATTCACACCCCTACTCGTTACAATTTTAGACCTTTTTCTTGGCTGCAGCATGGAGGGCGCCTAAGAGACCAGCGTCTTCCGGTAGAATGTTTAGAACTTTCGTTTACAGCGTTTACAACCGAGAATTTGCAATCCGAAAATGGGTTTCAATAGCGTTTTGGGTGGATTACGGAATGTTTTTGTTACACAACTTTGAAAGGTGTGTGTTAAAGCTGTTATAATCTGTCAGATCTGTGGTTCAAGAAAGAAAAACGGTATTGTAAGCCAAGTTTCTTTTCGTTATGTCCCAAAAAAAAGTTTTTTAAAATAAACAAAACAATGTGATGGGCTCTATTTTGACGGTCCATGCGCAAATCTCAAAACCCAGGGCGCAAATTCTTTCAGGGCGTGTCAGAACGCATTTTTGCTAACTTAAGGACGGGAAAATCCGCTTTGCGCCATGGCGCATAGTCTAAAAGGGTTGAGTTTATTTTCTTAATGAGTTATAGGTGTGTTTTGAGAATAAACCAATCAGACTCTCATCTTCCATTACCTTTAAGAGCCAGCTGCGTCGCGCCATAAGCGCATTGCTATTAACATGACGTAAAGTAAGTTCACTTTCGCTTTTGCTCTCGTGGATAGGGAAACCTTACCGCACAGACATCCATTAATTAGCCTATAAATAATTAATTTTGTTTGTTAAGCGCAAAGATTTGTTTCAAAACTATTTCTAAATTCAGTTCTAATTTCTTAGCAAACGAATAAATGATTAATAATAACAAAGTTTGGTCAAAATATGGAGTTATTTCCAAATACACCTGCTATGCCCCATATGGTCAAAAACCTGACAGGTGGACAAATCTAAGCTTGTTTTTAATAAAACAAGTATAAATAGCATATAATAAATAATACTGCTAATAATAATAACATTATACAAAAGCAAATTGAATGAACTAAAAAAGCCTCCCGAGATGAAGAAAGCATGAAGGCAGTGGTTTTTAAATTCATGTTGGCTAGAAATTAATATGTTTTGTAATATTTTAATCATTTATATCCTATATATATATCATTATTATATCCTATATATATCCTTAATATATTATATCTTTTTCATATGTAAAAATATTTGCGTATTGCATCTTGTGTGTAGTGTGTAAGCCAGGCCACTTTGCCTTAGTGTGTAGCCACTTTGCGCCAGACAATAGACAGACTTTGTTCTGGTCTAAAGAACAGACTATTTACAGTTTCTCAAAATAGCAACGCACCAAAACACGCCTGATTTTTTAGACCAGAACGCCTATGGGCGCACATTTGAGCGCAAATGCATTTGCTATTTAAACAGCGTGGCGCAACACCTCAAAAGGACCCTTACGCCAAGCTTAAAGTATTAAAAGACTATTGCGTTGCGCCTTGCGCCACATTGCGCCGGGTGTATGATAGGGCCCGATGTCTTTTGACTGCTTTCTTTAATAACTACAGTACACAATACTTTTACTTTCAGTACTTTAGTAGTACATTTTGAAATAAACTACTTGCAATACTTAAGTACAAAAAATGTTGAATACTTTTGTACTTCCACTTAACTATAGTGCTTAAAGAGCACTTCTACTTGTACTTAAGTCACTTTTTGATACTTGTACTTTTACTTAAGTCTGGGTCTCTAGTACTTTATACATCTCTGACAATGACAGACAGCTACTCAGACATTATGAAGCAGAGACCCATATTTCCCAGTGGTTGTTTGATGCAGTTGTTGTGGAGTTTATTCAGCAAATGTGGGATTTGGATCCTATTTAATGTCAGGAATTATTTTTTTAAAGAGACTGTTTATATCACTCCACTACTGTGGACAAACTACACCTTCACACATTTCTGTCCAAGCAGCTTCCAAAAGTTGATTTTGCATAATAGCCCTTTAAAGTTAGTACTGGTGAGATGTTTTGAATCGATTATTGATTAGATTAACCAGTATGTAAATGATATTCAGTTTCTATTGAAATTCTCTCATCGGACTATTCAAATATCCTGGAACAGGATAATAAAGGATGGCAAAACCATATTATTACCATTTCTGCATGTCAGCAGATCTAAATGAAAAGTTTTTTACTGATGGTCAACAACAAAAAAACATTTTCAAGTTCTTGGTTACTTCATGTTCACCCTACATAATACACCACTTTTGCTATTAAATCTGTGGTTTGATTCTACAAATATGTCATATGTTCTCTACTAATTTTAACAATAAATGAAAAAACGAAATAAAATTATTAAATGCCCGGAAAAATAAATAAAGCAAAACATTATTTCTGTAATTAGTAAAACTAACAAATATGCTTTCTCCACATCAATACTCTGGTGTCAAGCAATAACATAATTTAATCATATTTAAATGTATTTTATAACAATTAATTTTCTAAAAGAAAAAAATTAAAAAAATTTAAAACATCCGAACAATACAAAACTGTACTTTAAATAAATGTTCTAATTTGGATAAATGTTGCTCATCCCCCAATGATGGGTAGGTTTGTGGGTGTTGTTTAGAGGCAGGCTTTCTTATAAAAATCGTATGTTTTCATATGAATAAATTCATACAAATAAGCCACTTTTATGACATATTGTGAATAGTTTTGTTTTCTTGTAAAACTGGGCTATTTGTTCAATAGAATATACATATTCAGGCACTCCCCATCAGGCCCTTTAACATTTTTTTTTAAACATGTATTAGTTTGACATTTTTTCAATAACTACCATACAACACAACAACAATAAAAAATAAATAAATAAATAAGCTTGATAATACAAAGAAAATAATGGTAACAATATTAGTTAAGAACAATTTTTTAAATAAAAAAATTAAGTTAATATTAAATAACAATTAGGTCATATAAACAGTTTTAATTATATAAATACAAAGAGGTAATCAATAGGGGTAGTGGCATATTAAGCATTACATTGCTGCTCAGATTCATTGTCACGTTATATTGGTCCAGATGATCAAGAAATGGTTGGCACACTTACACCAGTCATATGTAGAGTAGATGATAGCAAAAATTATGTGTAATATAGATTTTGAGTAGTGCAGTCTGTGCATTACTTTAAATTAAATTGATTGATGCCTAGAATTAATAGAACAAGCTCTAATTCTACTGAGGCTGTCCTCCCTTGTATCAGTCTCAATCTGTATGTCTAGTTAGGCACTGTAACATTTTAATAGTATTAAAGATAGCTATGAAAAAAGAAAGAGGGGTGTGACAAATTACTGGTCAAAGAGGAGATAAGAAGTGATAATGGAGAAGTGAGGCATTATAAACGGAGACTGTGAGAGATACAGAGGACTAAACTATCTGAATAAAGATGTGGAGGAAAACTTGTGTGATTTTGTTGCTGGTGATGTGTGTCAGAGGTAAGAACTTGTCTCATTATTTTAAATTAATCTGTGCCTGTATTACATTGAATTAACAAGCTTTCGTTAACATTAAACAGCAAACATTCTTGTTGAATAGTTATTTCTTTTTTTTTTTTTTTTTTCAAATCTTAACTTAATGAAACTAAGTGTCTTGATGCTTTCCCGTAATAATCCCTTCCACACTTTCTCTATTTTCCTGCCAGATTCACTTTCTCAACCAGATGGTCAGTGTCCTTCTCTCTCTTTACATGTTAATTTAAAGTCACTTGGTAATCTATGCAACACAGGTTCATTTGGGAATATGTGCCCAGGGCTACATTTTTGAAAATTGCTAAATATTTGCATGTGAGTGTATATGGCTGCATTTTGTGTGTAAAACAAACACTTTGTGGCGGTACCACTGACTCTGTCTGGTACTCCTGCTGTATAAATGCGATATAATGTCCCATAAATGGTAAAACTTACATCCCTCCATCCCCCCACACTCTACATCTACGTCGCTCACCAACCTCTCTCACGGACCACACAAGAACGATGTTGAGTTTGGCAGAAATGTATACAGTGGCCTGGTAGATTTTTAATGAGAAATGACACGTATGATAAAACATGCCTCGGTAACTCCAATGAGCCTGGGTTGGATTTATTAGAAATGGTCTGGATGTTGTGCACTTTTTTGTGTCACTGTGAACAGTCTCTCTCTCTCCGTCAGTTTGTGGACGTCCAAATCCCAACTTTAACCCTCGTATTGTGGGTGGTGTGAATGCAACTGAGGGCTCGTGGCCATGGATGGTCAGTCTGCGTAAGAGTGGTGTTCATTTTTGTGGTGGCTCCCTCATCAACAATCAATGGGTGCTGACAGCAGCTCACTGCATCAGTGGGTAAGGGACATCACAAACAAACTACAAATCTATTGGTCTTGTTTTGGTTGGTTGGAATTTTATTTATGAACCAGTTTTTCTACTCCTGATATCTCTTCCTTGTATACAGTAAAACCACATCCAGCATGCATGTGTACTTGGGAAAGTGGAGACGTTATGAAACTGACCAAAATGAAATCACCAGAACTGTCATAGACATCATTCCACATCCCTCCTACAATAACAGAACTTCTGATAATGACATCGCTCTGCTGCAGCTGTCAGCTACAGTTCAATATACTGTCTACATTAAACCCATATGTCTAGCAGATCAAAACAGCAACTTCCCTCGTGGGACCAGGAGCTGGGTCACAGGCTGGGGGCGTATTGGCGTTTCGGGCACAGGTGGTATAAGCGGCAGAACCACAGTGTCTGTGCCTTTACCTGCTCCTGGGATTCTGCAAGAGGTTGAGCTTCAAGTGTACAGTAATGAAAAATGCAGTAAACGTTGTCAGGGACCCATCACCCCCAACATGATTTGTGCTGGTACACGAAGTGGAGGCAAAGGAACCTTTTATGTATGACGATCAATGAGATTGTTCTAATCAAGACTTTTACTCTACTTTATAGATTAAATAGATTATACTTTATATTCCACCAAGACTGACTGTATGTGGTCTTTATAATTCAAATACAATAAACTAAATCAGTACCTAAATAATTTAATCTTTCTTTATAGGGGGACTCTGGTGGTCCACTGATGAGTAAGCAGTGTTCAGTGTGGGTTCAGGCTGGTGTTGTCAGTCATGGGTATGGATGTGCACAGCCCAAGATTCCTGGTGTGTTCATTCGCGTCTCAGAGTATAAACAATGGATTACAGACAATATTGGTGGAAACCTGCCTGGATTTGTCCTCTTTGATCCAACATGTTTACTTCGCAGTAAGATTCTCCTCTTCTCGTGCCTAAACACACAGTATACAGCAACATGCACTTCTTTGACCTATGTTTGTTTTTGCATTTTGTTTAGAAGTTCTCAATAAAGTCTTCTGCTGCTTTGGATAATAAAAACTGCTGCAGTGGTTACGTATATTGATGCTCTGGTGAGTCAAACCACACACAAACACAATTATTCTTATATACCAGTGGGGACTCTCATAGACATGTTTCTGCTGTGAATTATACCCCCCTACCCTAAACCCAACCCTCACATGTAACAATCAGAATTTTTACAGTATCCAAATGCTTCATTCTGTATGATTTATTAGCATGCTTTCTGATTGGGATCTCACTCAAGTCCTCATGAGTCTCTGTGCATTCAGGTGCCCAACGTGATACAAAAACAAAGACACTCAAGGAGAATGAAAAGCTTCTTTCAGTTGTTTGAGCTGTTTGTTTTTGTGCATCTAAAGGTTAATGTTCTGGAGGATGGAGGATCCTAATCAAGGCTTTACCTGCACACCTGCCTGTCACACGATAATGCCTCTTCCTGTCTGCTGTCTGTGAAAGGCTGCATTTACACAGCACTGTTCAAGTGACTCAATTCCGATTTTTTTTTTTTTTTTCCCATGTGGCACAGATCCACACTTTCTCTATTTCCCTGCCAGATTCACTTTCTTAACCAGATGGTCAGTGTCCTTCTCTCTCTTTACATGTTAATTTAAAGTCCCTTGGTGATCTATGCAACACAGGCTTATTGGGAATATGTGCCCAGGGCTACATTTTTAAAAATTGAGAAATATTTGCATGTAAATGTATATGGCTGCATTTTGTGTGTAAAACAAACACTTCATGGCGGTACCACTAACTCTGTATGGTACTCCGTATGCCCGCAAATGAGATATAAAGTCCTGTAAAAGGAGGTGAAACTCACACCTCCCCACCACCCCCCGCTTTTCATCTATGTCGCTCACCTCCATACACATATCAAACCATTGACATTACATTAAGATGCCTAAAAGTTTAAAAAAGCCTATATATCAAAAGAAGATGGCCAAATGAGAACCTTTCTGTCATAAACTATAGTAAAACAGCTTGTCAAAAGCTGCGAACAGATTACATACAGGAATAGAGAAATCTGGATGCAGCCTTTATGATGCAAGCTAAGATTGCATCACCTAGCAATGCAATGTCAGACACAATGCACTCAATGGAGTGGGTAGGGGTTAGGTGAGAGCATTAAAAAGCATTGGATGCAGCTCAGATTGCACTGCACCAGGTCTGCATCCAGACCCCTCTAGAGAACAGAGCGCTCTTTTATTATCAGCTGTTAGTCAGTGCCAGCTCTTTTTTTCTGGTCATTGTGCCTTTGCCGTGTGCTGTGTAAATGCAGACGATCGGATATGAGTCACTTTTAAAAGATGATGTAAGCAGGTCATCAAAAAAATCGGATAAAGTCACAAAATCAAATTTGATCTGCAGCCAAACTCTTCTGGCCAGTGTTGATATAAACACTGTGGTTTCCCCCCACAATCTAAAGACATACGGTAAAGGTGAGATGGATAAAACTGTCCACTTTGTATGAGTGTGTGCATGAATAAGAGAGTGTGTTTCTTCCCAGCACTTTGGTTAACTGCGATTTCAGAGGAAAGTGAGTGAGTGAGGATTCCCATTAAATTTCTAAAATATTCATGACGTGTACTTCACACAGGTGAGTGGGCTTGACAAACCACCTGTTGAAACACTCTTCTCAGAGTGCTAGAAAACCAATTGTTCAGGTTGTCTCGATGATGCATCCTCTTTGCCCTGGACTTTACCTTTACCAGAGCAGCTTACTCACATTCCACACAGAATGTTTTTAATATGGTGTATCTTGTAGCTTTGGGGTCATTTTAAATGGTAAAGTGGTCCTAATTTCAATGTAATATTTTACAATCTCTCTTATATTAGTTAATTTGGGTTTTGACTTTGATAAGATCTTTGCCAGATGCTCCACTCCAGGGAAAATGGTCTTCACGCAAGAGTTTTGGTGAAGCTTTTATTGTCTTGATTTAATGATGATTTCAGTATTTAGGCAAAGGGTGCAGAAGTGTCTGTGGGATCGTGTAGACAGGATACCCCATTGCAGTTTGTGAGTCTCTGTGCTCTGCATCAGGAATTATATGCTGCAATGTATTTCTACATGGTCAGGAATTAATCTCTAACTCTTAAATGTATCTTTGAATAATTGATGTTGTACATTCTTGATTGGCTTATTTTGTTTAATTATGTGAATTTGAATAAAAAATTTTTGCCTGACAAATAAATGTAAAATTCTTGTTTAACTTTAATATCTCCTGAAATCAATTAAATCTAGTAGATTGTTTAGGCTGATGTTTCCGCAGCCTACGACCAGGATTAGTCATACATTTAGGCTCAATGGATGGAGCATAGGCACAGCATTAGAGACTGTTGATTTCTGACCATCCCTGCCTTAGTATGATATAATATAGGGGCTAAATCAAACTTTCTTTAAGTATGTGCAAGCATGGGACAGGCTATTATTGTAACTGCCGTGAGAAGCAATTCTTATATATTACACTCTATAAACATAAACTTTACATTAAAAAGTCAATAAATAGTTAAAATGTTCAAATTAATCATTAGAATAAATAAGTAATGTATATTTGTTGTTAATGCATGTTAATTCATTTAAAGTTATTTAACTAAAACTATAAGGGGGAGGGGGGAACCTTTTCTTGTTATGTTTAGCTTGGGAATTATTTCATTGTTGCAATCAAGATATTCTTCCGATGAACTACAAGTAGTTCAGCCACAAGGTGCTGTGCTAAAACACGTTTTTAAAGATTAAGAAGTGCAAAGAAGTTTGTTTAAGAGAAACTGAAACTCTTCAAGTTTATTCCTCTGGAGCAGTGGTTCTCAAACTTTTTTCACCAAGTACCACCTTAGAAAAAAATTGTCTCTCCAAGTACCACCTTACAACGCTATTTTTTAACCAGTATTAAAAAATAGCGTCGTAGGCCAAATTAAGCAGCTACAGGTGTGCACAGTTTAAAAACGATGCAGATTAATTCCTATTATTAAGAATATGTATTATTATCATTCATTTTAAACATTTGAAATAGTCTGAACATTAACTGTGCTTGCAGATTAAAAAAAAAAGTTTTTGTAAAATGTGCTTTTAAAAGTTCATTAAAAAATGGCGCTGTTCTTAAAAAGTAAAAAGAAAACTGCTGTACTTAAATCTAAAGTATTCATTGTAGCCTATTCATCAAAAGCTGGAGATGTTGCTTTTACCTTATAAATATAGGCTATATGTCACATTCCTACACTTTCAGACAAATCTTGAAATATGTTAAATGTACATATGACAGGGTTCATACAGGCACAGCCTAAAGAAAAATCAATTCCAGCACCTATTTTATTTTTTTTCAAGACTGACATGCTATGTATTGAAGACCTGAAAAGTATTCTCAGCAACCCATAAAACATTGCATAGGAATAGATACAAATAAAAAACATAAAAAAATAATATTTATTGATCATATATTAATAATATAATAAACCTGCACTAAATGCTTGAGAAATCTTTTTTGTACTCAAGTAAAAATACTATTACACAGCTAAAATAACACAAATTTTAGTAAATAATATTAATATTAGGTAAAAGTACAAAGTACTCTTTTAAAAAGTACTAGTTGGTTACTTTTGGAAAAAAAAATCAGATTTTCATTATGAAATCACTTTTTTACGTGGAAACCTGATTGAATGGTTTAATTGCTTAAATCCCAAAGCTACATGTATAGGAAATTGCACTAACAAAGAAAGTATGATCGATTTTTCCTTTCATGACAATTAATCTTTTTCAATAGCACTGGTAAAACTACCAAATAATCTTTAAGCCCATAGAGACACTTTTTGCCAATTTATTTAAACGATATTTACAAGCTTTGAAAGGTTTAATTGAAGTATATGGTAAAAAGATTTAAATTTAGCCTTTTATTTACATATTTTACACTATTTTTCTTTACAATATGGCAAATTTGTTTCTTAAATAGCTGTACATCACATGTAGATTTGATTTTACATTTAACCTAATCTAAAATAGAAACTTTAAAAAAAATACAAGTACACTGTCAGTAAAAAAATAAAACAAATGACTTCATTTTACTTGAGGTATTTAAAATATGACAACACTACATTTATCAAAGCAGTGCTTTAAGAGCCTTATTGTTAATTTTGATAAATAAACAATAAGTAACAACGGATTGCTTTGAGCTTTAATGCTTTAAGACAGATCAAAATACAGCTAAATGTATAAATCACACAAATACCTCATCCAGAAACATTTCCAGCATAATTCTTTTGTCGTAAAGAAATAAGTTCCACCTTTGCTAAAAGTAAGTTTCACTTCACAACACAGCCAAATAAGAAGACCATTAGCATTGTCATCGATCATGTATCAATCTATTTCTTAATACTTGATTACTTTGAATACTTTTGACTAAATTTATTTAAGGAACAATGATAAATAATGTCTACTTTAATAGTGGAAAGATCGCGATTGTATTCAATCTGAGCACACAGGCGATCCTGAGAGGACTTGCAGTTCATTTGAAAAAAAAAGCCTATTTAAGAGCCCACATATCTGTTTTAGCGATTTGCGTACATGAATGCGCTCTCGTGTTAAAATAAAGCACTTGCCACATTTGTAGAAATTAGTTATTGCGCAATACCTCCATTCCCGCGCCGCCATTCAGACTGTATTTAGAGGAGTGACAGGTCAGAGGCGAGTCGACTCGCTGTCGGAGAGCGAAACGTGTTTGTAGATCATCAAAAAGGCAGGAAATATGTCCGCGGTTTAATTACTCTGCTAGACATCTCTATAGTGAAAACATCCGAGAAGCATTATTCCAACAAAACATTTGTTTTTAAGTTGTTTTTTCTGTCTCTGCAACACAGAAAGCATTTGTCCTGCCCTTACGTTTCACGCAACTAGACAAGGTCGACTGTGATTGGCTACTTTTCATGTCAGTCAAATCACGCTTCAGAATCAATTCTTAAACTTTGGAAACTGATTTATAGCAGCTTATGACACAATGCA